AACAATATATTTCAAGTACAGAGAGAAAATAACTGCCAACATAGAATCCTATGCTCAGTGAAAATACCCTTTTTGAAGGAAGGCAAAATAAGGACCTTTTGTGTTCAGACACACAAAAGCTGCAGAACACCAGCATACTCACGTTAAAAGAAATACCAAAGGTGTTGTTCTGGCAGAAGGAAAATGATCCATAAAATGATACTAGAGATACAGGAAAGAATAAATATTAATAAATAGGTAAATATAGAGGATTATTGATTGTATAAAACAACAAGATCTAATGGGGTTTAAAATGTTTAATGAACTAAAATACAGGTAAACGGCATATAAGTTGGAAGGAGAAAATGGAGTTAAGATGTTTTAAGGCATTTGTATTGTCCAGGAAGGGGTTTGCCATGGACCAAGTGTTTGTTTCTTCCCACCTCCCAGAACTGAAATGTTGAAATCCAAACCCCCAATGCGATGGTATTAGGAGATGGGGCTTCTAAGGGGTAATTACATCATAGAAGTGGGGCCCTCATGAATGGAATTAGTGCCCTTATAAAAGGGACCTCAGAGAGCTCCCTGTGTCCCTTCCGCCATGTGAGGATACAAAGAGAAGACAGCAGTCTGCAATGTGGAAGAGGACCCTCATTAGAACACAACTATGCTGGCACCCTGATGTCAGACTTCTAGTCTCCAGAACTAGAAGAAATAGATTGTGAGAAATAAATTTCCATTGTTTATAAGCCACTCCGCCTATGGGACTTTGTTACAGTGCATTCAAGCTGATGAAGATGGGAGGAGGAAGTATCAATTAAGATTAGACTTTGAGGACATCTGATGTTGACCAAGTTGGAGTGTGTCTACTACAGGCTATCTATGTTTTATTTCAACAAAATACTGTGAACATAACAGAAAAAACAAGTATGAGAGAACGCTGGAAAAGCACTGGATAGAATTTAATATACAGGGGTAGGCAAAAGTAGGTTTATCTTTGTGAGCACACAAAACAGAGTTTATTCTTGTATCATTACTTATTAATGATCATATTATTTATTTGTATTATAAACCTACTTTTACCCACTTCTGTATATTCAGTAAGACACTACACAACAACAAAAGAAACCATTTTCTGACAAGTTAGGAATAAAAGGCAAGCTCCTTGACTTAATAAAGGCACCTGCAAAAAAATCTACAGCTAACATCATGCTTAATGAAGAGATAGTGAGTGATTTCCCCCTATAACCCAGAAATCCCAGTCCTGGTTATCTATCCAAATGAGTTAAAAGTTAATGTTCACACAAAAAATCTGCATGTGAATGCTTATAGAAGCTTTATTCAAGATTGCCCCAAACTGGAAACAACCCAGATGTTTTCCAACAGGTGAATGGATAAACAAATTGTGGTATGTCCATACAGTGGAATACTGCCTGGCAATAAAAAGGAAAGAACTATTGATTCACATAACGACATGGATGAGTCTCAAATGCACTTTGCTAAGTGAAAGATCCAAAAATCTACCTGTTGTGTAATTCCATTTATATGATATTTTTTAAAAGACAAAGTTATAAAGATGAAAAATACGTCAGTAGTTGCTAGGGGGTGGATGCAGCAGAGGAGGCAACTATAAAAGGGGAGAACAAGAGTGTTTTGGGGATGATAGAACTAATTTACTTCCTATGTCTATAGATTCCCTTCCCCTCCGCAGGGCTCTCTCTTGTTGATTGTTGAGGGCTGCAGTTGTCCATTTAGTGACTTTCCCAAACAACTTTTGCAAAGATTGTATTCCTCCTCATGTGTGTTTACTGAAGGCTCTGTTCTGTTAACTTGGCAGTTAGCTAATGACTGAAAGATATTTTCTTAAATACCTGGAGACCAAAAAAAAAGAAAAAAACTCCCTTAGTCTTTGCGTATTAGCTGTGAGCTAGGATACTCCTTCAATACTAAGCCAAGCTGACTACAACTCTGCCTTAGCCTACACTACCTGCTTATTGTGCAATCCAAATATCAGCCAAAGGTGTAAGTCTTGAGTCATTGCATGTCTTTTCTAAGCACGTGTCTTGCCATGGGTATTCATCTTGTACTCCAGATTCCCCGGTGTGGTTGGTATCCCTTTATAGCTTTTATTCCCCCAAGAATCTTCCTCATCGTACCCAGGCTTTTGGGTCTGCCTGTTTGTCTCATCTTTCATTTCTTGCCCCAAACAGCAATGGGTAGCATATATTTTTAAATGTTCTCATCAGATACCACCCAGAAAGCCACTCCCACCTGACGGGGAGAAATAAAGTCAGTCTCTGTGCTGATCCCTTAAGGAACCACCAGACAGGTCAAATGTGTGACAACAGTGTTTGAGAACAAGGTCCATATTGATTTCCCTGGTACCTGTAAACAGTATCAGGAATGTAGGCCATTGTCCACAGATTGCTGAGCGCTGGGGATTAGGGAATGCTAGGCAGGTAAGCAAAAAGTATGTAATGTTTCTTAGCCATATTCTACTGCCTGATAAAGAATGAATATTCTTCATTAAGCACTGGTGTTTTATTAGATTCTACAGCTCCAAAAAGTTAATTCTGTCCATTTTTTCCACCTTAATTCTTGCTGGGAAGACCAATTCTTACAAGGGACCAATCCCTGCAAGGGATCAATTCTTGGAGTTCCCTGCTCTGCTAATTCCATGATGTCAGTTCTGTTGCAAGTTCTTTGGAAAGCAGTTTGGTTCTGCGTAGTAAATCTGAAAATGTACCAACCAGCAATTCTGCTCCTCATTTTTTACCCTAGAGCAGTGACTCTCAACTGGGGCAATTTTGCCTTTCCAATAAAATTAGGGAATGCCTGGAGACATTTTGGTTTTCACAAGTGGAGACATACTGTTGGCTTCTAGAGGGTAAAGCCACGATGCTGCTAAACCTCCCATAATACATAGGATGGTCCCCCAATACCCATCTACAAAAAGGATCATCTGGCCCTAAGTGTCAAAATCACCAAGGCTGAGAAAACTTCACCTAGAGAAATGAGTGCTCATATGCACAAGGAGAATGCTCATAACTGCATTGTTTATAATGATCCTGAACAGGAAGTGACCCAAACAACCTAAATGCCCATCAACAGGTGAATCGACATACTCTTATATTACACTCAGTGGAATACTTACAGCAATTAAAATGAATGAACTACAAAAATTATTTTAAAAAGCAAGAAAATATTTTATATAAACATTAAGATAGTGGTCACTTGGAAAGGGGGGCTAATATTAGGAAAGAACACGTGTGGTCTTCTGGGTTCCTGGCAAAAAATGTTCAACTTCTTAAACGGGATGGTGTTTATGTAGGTGTTCACCTTTTAAAAACTGTACATTACTATCTTTTTACTTTTATGTTTATCTCATAATAAAGCAGGTAAGAGCTGCCAGTAATTACAGTTTTTCTTCTATTACACCCCCTCCTCTAACAGGTCATGTTCTGATTTGTATCTTGAAACTGACCACGCAGTCCTAGGGTCCATGTTCATTCACTCATTCAGTCGATCTATCATCAATGTTTATTAAACATGCACTGTGAGTCAGAAACTGTTCTAAACACTAGGAGCACAGAGGTGGAACAAGGTAGACATCTTGTATTCCAGGGTGAAGGGACAGGCAGTAATTCATACATCAAAACATTTTCAAGGTCATTTCAAGGAGCAGTGAATATTTTGAAAACAAGGCAGTTATTAGGAGAGGGTGACTGGGGTGAGAAAGAGTAACTGGGGCGAGAGACTTCAGACTGAGTGGTCAATGAAGGCCTCTGTGAAGATGACATTTGAGAAGATAACTGACTTGCATCAAGTGAAGGAATAAAGAAGACTATTCCAAATAAAGGAAGGAGTTGTTGCTGAGGCTTTTGGGTGGAAAAGTGTTTGACGTGTTTGAGGAATCTCAGGAAATAAGACATGGCTAGTATGGAGTGTGCGAGGGAAGGGTGGCAGATGAGGTTAGCCCAGCAGGCGAGGACCCCATCATGGAGGACCTTGTAGGCCATGGAAGAGTTTGGATCTTTTTCCTAAGTGCCATGAGAAGCCACTGGAACGCTGCTGTTGTGTAGACTGCAGGAGGGAAGGTAGGTGGCATGGAGAGAGACTCAGGTACACAACAGGTGATGGTGGCTGTGATGTGGATAGGGCGAGAAATGAACAGACTCAGGATTTTTTAGAGTCAAGAACATTTGTTAAGGGATTGGATGTGCGGTGTGAGGAAGGGAGTGAGTCAAGAGTGATGCATAGGTTTTTGTCTGAACAGCTAAGGGGATAGTGGGAGCATTTGCTGGGATGGGGAAGACTGGAGAGTATGAAACTTGGACCAAAAGTGTTATTTGGGCTTTATTAAGCTTGAGATGCCTCTTAGACATTCAAGGGGAAATGTCAGGTCAACTCTTGATTGTTTCTCTTCTTCGCAGATTTAATGGGCTGGGTTTGAAGTTTCTCTTCAACTATATTAGAACTACTGGACAAATTGTCAATTGATTTAAGAAATTAAGAGTGTACATGCAGAATGCTATTCCATGAATTGACATTCACATTTTTAATTGAAAAAAGTAGATTATAAAAGTGCATATGGTGTGCTCCCATTTTTAAGAATACAATATAATGTAATATGTATTTTGTTGGAAACAGATAAACTAGAATGTAAGCAGTGGTTAGCTCAGGTGCTGGTATCGAGCGTGGTTCTATTCTTTTCTCGTTTCACCTGTGTAAGATGCTTCTTAAAAACAAAGAATCCATAAAAAAGGGCTCGGTTATCTGTCAGGTGAGGGATGCCAAGGTGATCTGGGCGATGACGGACCAGGTGCCAACTAGGGAAAGCGAAGAGACCCCGCCCAAGAGTCAAGGCGTGGGGGGCACGAGGGCTGTCCAGGGGGGCACCACGCCTTTGTGTCACGTGATCGCCGCCCGCCAATGGCAGTCTCCCGAGCCCACCTTGGGGACGGGGCGGGGCGCCCAGCTGGCGTCACCAGGACAACGGGCGTTGCCGGCGCCGTGTGACTCGGGCTGTGGGCGCGCTGGCGGCTCTTCGGCCATGGTGAGTCTGGGGGCCGCGCCGGCCCGGCCGCCCCGCCCTCTCCGGCCCGGGCGGAGTCCCCGGGCGGTCGCCTGCTGGGTTACCGCGGGCGGCGCAGGGTCGCGGAGAGGCCGGGCCGCGGCCTGCGGGGCTGCCGCGCTGGGCAGGGCGGGGCGGGCCCCGGGGAGGGAACCCTGGAGGACGCGGAACGCCCGCCTGTCCCTGGCGACCGCGACCCAGCCTTCTCTGCCGCTGAATGCCTGGGTCCCTGCTGGGACCCCCCTCGCAGTGCACCGCCGGACAGCGTGACGCTCTTTGGCTCTGGCGAGCCTGGGAAGCCACGGAGAGGGTGTGGTCAACAAAAAAAGATATCATGTATTTATATTAGCACTGTGTTGATTGCAGTCTATATGCTTCCTGTCTTGTTTCTGCAGTTATGTATAGAAATTAATATAATACATGTGCATTTCTTTCAAATTCATCCCTCTGGCAGGTTTTTTAGCATGTGTAAATTTAAATTTGTAATTTTGGAGATTTCCGCCTCCTTTTTAAAAAAAATGGGGGCAGGAGATTTTTACCTGGATGCTGCACCCTCAGGAAGTCATAGCACTTCACCTTAATTCAGTAAACTTGAGAGTGGGCATGCCACCTGGCCCCCAGTAAGCTCGTTCCTTAAAATCTGACTTGAAGACTCAGCTGAGATGTTGACTTAAATAGGACTCAGGAAATTGCCAACCAAAGGTGTGTTTTCCCCAGAGGCCTCCAAAGGGTATAAAAGGAGACTGGAGCTGGACTCTCCACTTAAGGACACACCTTTGGCATAGAATATTTGAGAGGCGTTGCGGTGGGTAATAAGGAAATGGCTATTTTTAAGAAACAGGTTTGTTGTTTTTTTTTTTAAAATAACCATTAGTAATTTAATGTAGACTAGTGGAGGCACTAAGTTGAAAATACAGGGTGCTTCCCAAGTGCCTGTTGGCCTTCTGGAGAGAGAAACCTGCCGTTGGGAACCCTGGCTGGCTCTGCCCGTTCTTATGAACTAGGGAGAGGCATCTTAGGAAGAGAAGGTGTATAGTCTGTATCTCTCACTGACTCCGGAAAGACCACTGCCAGGTGTATGGCTTGTTGATAACAGGAAAAGAACATCACCCACAAATAACAGCAGTGTCGTCTTTATTTTCTGTGTTTCTTTTTAATTCTGAACTGCTTTAAAGTGACAAGTTAATGGAGCCAGCAAGAGTTGGAGAAAGTGAAATTTGCAAAACTCGTGTTTTAAATATTACAATGACTTACTCTTACATGTTACGTATGAGAAAAGCCCTTAGAGTTAGAGCAAGGAGAAGGGAAGAATATTCAGGAATTAATGCTCACAGCTCTCTGGAATTTCATATCCCTCTTGTCGCCCATTTTCTTTCTCTTCTCTTTCCTCCACCCCTTCCAGTCTGACCCACAGTCCATCTTGATTCACTTGTGAATTTTGGAGTTTTATTTACTCTAAAATTAAAGTATTTTACTGTAGTTGTACGCTAGTGGTTGTTTTGCTGAACTTAGAAGTGCTTTGTTTTTGTGTATCGTTAAGCATTAAGAATTTATTTCATGGAAGGGATTCAACTGAGTGAAAAGCTGATGTCTGGGCTCCAAGGGAGGTGGGGAATGAATGGGTGCTGGTGTAGGAGGGGGCATGAGGAGGCTGCCTGGATAATTAATCCCTGGAACTGTATTCGAGATGATAACATTGCCCTTCATTAAGTGCTTGAATTTAGACATACAGCTTTAGCAGTTGATGTAAATGACTTTGCACGTGAATTTTGGAATTCTTTATTTCTCTATGAAAATTTCTTCAATTGAGCCACTTGTTTCTATTGCCTCTGTAGCAATAATGACAGCTGGCCTTTATTTTAGAAATTCTATGCATGAAGCATTTTTTTCTAAGCACCTGTTTGTCTTACTTAACTATCACAACAACCCTATGAAGAAAATACCATCTCCTCACTTTAGAGATGAGGACATTAAGGCCTCAGAGAGGTAGTGTAACTTGCCCAGGTCACCCAGCCAGATAATTGGAGCCAGATTTCAAAATCAGGCAGTTTGTCACAGACCCTACTTATGTAAACACTGGATTAAACTAATGTATAGTGTGTCATCATATGTTCCCCAATATATGTGGCATATGTCTGTTAGGAAATTAGTTTTCTGATTTGGATTTGAATGTTTTGAGCACTTGTGAGTACTTCTATTTTGTTATTCCCGGCACTGGACAAGATGCTACAGAACAAAGTCGGCATCCTAGCCTCCTGCCCGCCCTCCTCTTTCGCAGAGATGAAATGAAGAAGAATGGACGAAGACAGGTTATTAGATTAAGGTTCATACTCATGGCTGTAATAGCCCTGAAAATTTCTCCTGTCACTTCAGTTTGTGTTCAGGAATCGACGCCTGCTTTTTGTAAATCATAAAGGCCAGTGCTTTACAGAGAACCATTTAGACTTGGGGGATGAAACTTTAAAAAATAAAATACTATTTGCTGAGATTTTCCCTAATATTAATTTTTTGCATTTACTTTAGTTGTATGTTCTAAAATTGTTCCCAAAAGACAGCAAATAATTGTTTAAACTTTAACTCATGTGGATCAAAATATACATTAGGATACTTACTGCTATTAGGCTTTTGTTATTGCTTAATACTCCATTCCTTTAACTTTTAAGGGAGATTTATTTTTTTGGAAATATAAAATAACATAGTATCATACACTTTTCCCATTTTCATTCACCTCTTGGAATGTCCGCTATTTTGGCACTTCCCTTTCTATAACAGCGTTAGGAAGCACAAGGTGAGGGAAAAACTTGAAAGTATGCCGAAGGTCTACAGACAGTTTCGGTCTATTTGCCATCATGTGACATAATCAAGAAAGCCTCTATAATGAGATCTATGTTAATAGATTGTGGAAAGAAGAGGTTTCTCTATTAATTTTTTTACCCTTGACAATGTTGGTCTCCCTTTTGCCTGCACTGGGGTTGGAACATCATTTTTAGTACTTAATTTTAACAGTAATTCTCTTTCATAGAGCCTTTCTCTGTGCCTAGTTTTAGGCTGACCACTTCACATTTCACTTAATCCATCCAACATTCCTAGGAGATTGGCATTCCTGGACATACACCCATTCAACACTCTCAGATTGATGAGCCAGTTCGCCCAGGGTCACACAGTTGACGAGTGGCAGCGCCAGGATTTGAACTCAACCAGTGTGTCTTCAACATCTGGCTTCTTAGCCCTCACACTATGGCAGCTTCTCAGACCGAAGGCTGTGCCCAGGGCATCTGTCCCACACCAAGAGTAAGAGCCTCAGTGTCTTACCGGGTGAGCCAGGAAGCTCTTTTTTATGACAAACTCTTTTTTTTTGTGCCAGCAACACCCTGAAGGATTTACTTGGCTCTTTTCCCCCCAAGTGCAGACAACCAAAGCTCAGGTACGGACAGCCGTGGGTTGACCTGCACTTTGACCTCTGTCTCCCCTGCGTCATTTTGTGCCTCACTTCTACCCCGTAGTGTCTGCCTCAGCCACTGCCCCTTCCAGCGCTGGGGTGGCTGTGAGAGAGAAGGGGCTGGGGCAGAGGCAGCTGAGGAAGCAGAGCAGCGCAGCGGTCGCTGGGGACGTGCTTGTGGAGTCAGAATCATACAATATGGCCTTTTGTTGGTGTCGTCTTTTGCGTGGCATAGTGTTTTTAAGGCTTGTTTCTGTTGTAATATATATATTAGTACTTAATTCCTTTTGATTGGTGAATCATTTTCCATTATATGTACAGACCACATTTTGTTTATATGTTCATTAGCTGATGGGCATTTGGATTGTTTCCAGTTTTTGGCTATTATAAATACTGCTGCCATGAACATTCATGTACAAAGTTTTGTATGGATACATTTTTATTTCTTCTAGGTAGTTACCATGGTTGGAATTGCAGGTTCATAGGATAACTCTCTGTTTAACCTTTGAGGAACTGCCAGACTGTTTTCCGAAGTGGCTATTTTGGAACTATTTTATGTTCTGACCAGCATGGGGTGGGGGTTCTAATTTCTCCACATTCTCCTGATCATGTGTTATCTGTCTGATTTTAGCCATCTTTGTGGCTGTGAAGTATTTTGTGATTTTGATTTTTACTTCCGTAAGGACTAATGAATGATTTGAACATTTTAAAAAATGTGTTTATTGGCTATTTGCATATCTTTGCAGAAATGTCCATTCAAATTCCACACCCATTTTTAAACTGGTTTATTTATCTTTCTATTGTTGAATTTTGAGAGGTTTTTATGTACATTCTGGATACAGCCCTTTTATCAGATGTGTGATTTGCAAATATTTCTCCTGTTTTGTGGGTTTTCTTTTCACTTTCTTGGTGATACCCTTTGAAGCACAGAGGTTTTTGATTTTTAAGTCCTGTTTTTTCTTTATTTTTTTTCTTTTTTTTTTTCCCCACTGTTCTCCCTTGCTAGTACAAAAACATATCTGCTATCGGTGATTCTTGCCTACGGATGTCTCTATCCATAATGATTTCTTACGAGGATAACTCTTCAAAAGTTAATATAACTATTATGGGTCACATTTTGATATAATTTATAGTAGATATAGTTTAACATTTTCCTTAAAGTTGCATTGGTTTTCCCTCTTCTTGCTTCCTCTTTAACATTAAACTACATTTGTTTTTAATTTTACAGCTGACAGTTGACTTTTTGATTAGCCACATGAAAAATACAATTTCAACATCATTTCTATTAAAATTCATTTTTTTATGTTTAGTTTTATTTATATTTTCAATTAAATTCCTTAGTAATGTATCTATATTCACATTTATTGTGTGAGAAACTTCTGAGAATATGGAGTATCCCACAATAGCATGAAATTAAAAGAAAAATTTTGGGCATTCTAGGCAAACCATAGAGAAAAAAGAATGTTCACATAGTCCTGTTTTTTCTTTGGTTGCTTGTACTTTTGGTATGATATCCAAGAAACCATAATTCAAGGTTACCAAGGTTTATGCTCACATTTTGTTTTAAGGGTTGTAGTTTTAACTCATATATTTATTTAGGCCTTTGATCACTTTTGGGCTATTTTTTGTATCATGTGAGGTAGGGCCCAGCTCTTTCGTTTTGCATGTGGATAGCAGTTGTCCTGGCTGAACAGACTGTTCTTTCTCCCATTGAATTATCTTAACATGCGCGTTGAAAATCAGTTGCCCAGGAATGAAAAGTTTATTTCTGGACTTTTCTATTTCCTTGATCTAATATGTCTGTCCGTATGCCAGTACCACAGTGTTTCGATTACTGTAGTTTTGCAGTGAGTTTTGGAATCAGGAAGTGTGACTTCATTTTCTTTTCCAAGATTACAGGTATGCATTGATTAATGATGGGATACGTCCTGTGAAATGCATCATTAGGCAGTTTCATCGTTGTGTGGACGCATAGAGTACACTTACACAGATTGAGGTGCTGCAGCCTACCTCACACCTAGGCTGTGTGGTATATCCTGTCGGTCCTAGGTTATAGACTGGTACAGCATGCTGCTGTACTGAATACTGTAGGCAATTGTAGTGTTTGCGTATCTAAACATATGTAAACATGAAAAAGGTACAGTAAAAATACAGGATAAAACCCTGACTGGTGTGGCTCAGTTGGCTGGGCATTGTCCCACAAAGTGAAAAGTGGCTGGTTTGGTTACTGGTCAGGGCACAGGCCTGGGTTGCAGGTTTGGTCCCTGGTTGGGGCACGTGCAAGAGGCGACCAATCGATGCTTCTCTCTCACATCAATGTTTCTCTCGCTCTCTTTTTCCCTTCCTTCCCCTCTCTCCAAAAATAAATAAATAAAATCTTTAAAAAATACAATATAAAAGATAACAACAGTATGGCTGTATATGGCGCTTACCAGGAGTGGAGTTTGCAGGACTGGAAGTTGCTCTGGGTGAGTCAGTGAGTTGGAATGGTGAATGAACGTGAAGGCCTAGGGCATTACTGTGACACTGCTGTGCACTAGATAAACATCATGCATTGGCAGCACGATGTTATGGTGGCCACACCACCTCTAGGGCGATAGGGATTTTTCAGCTCCATTATGATCTTACAGGACCACCATTGTAAATGCAGTACTTCGTTGACCGAAACATCGTTATACAGTGCTTGACTTTATGTTGGCTGTTCTGGGTCCTTTGCATTTCTACATGAATTGTAGGGTCAGCTTTTAAATTTTTCGATAAAAAGGCAGCTGGCATTTTGATAGAGATTTCATTAAATTTATGGATCAGTTTGAGAATGAACATGGGATATGAGTATATTTGTCTTTTTAAATTTCTGTCAGCAATACTTTGTGTAACTTTTCAATATATAAGTCTTGTACTTCTTTAGATATATTCATAAGTATTTTGTTCTTACTGCTATTGTAAGTGAGATCATTTTTTGAATGTTAGTTTCAGGTCGTTCATTGCTAATGTATGGAAATAAAATTTATTTTTATATAAATGTATTACATATTTGTATATTGTATGCTGCAACCTTGATGAACTCCTTGAATAGTTCTAATAAATTCTTTTGTGATTTTTAAAAGAATTTTCTATATACAAGATTGTCATCTGCGAATAAAGGTTGTTTTACATCTTCCTTTCCCCTCAAGATGCTTTTTATTTATTTTCTTGCCTAATAACCTCAGCTAGAATCTCCAGTACAATACAGTATAGGAATGGCTGTGTGTTGCCATATTTTAAAAATAGAATAGTGATAGGATATGAATTGTTCTTAAATATGTCACATTGAAGTGTGGTGGCTTCATGAAATTAGTGTCATATCTGTAGGACAGTGACTGGGGTGTTCCTATCTAAAAAACATGTAACTTTTTTTTTTAATTGACTGAGGAACACTAACAATTTCCCTTTTATTTCTTTTTAGGTTTTCTCAAATAATGATGAAGGCCTTATTAACAAAAAGTTACCAAAAGAACTCCTTTTAAGGTAAGTAAATGTAGATAAGCTTTAGATAAAGAATTCAGATTTGATTCCATCATTAAATTCCAAGACAGTCTTCTTTCTCACTGTGAGTCCATAGCACAGACAAACAGACAGAATTAGCCTAACCGACTTTTTGTTTTTGTTTTATAGAATGCTGTTCAGCTTGTTGTTAAATTTTACTTGGTCTAATCCAGAATGTACTAAGTATGTACATAACATTGGTCTGGATTCTTTTTGTAATGTGGTAAGTATTGTAATAATCTTCAGTAGGTGCCATGGTTTTGGTATCAGTAGATAATCTCAATGTCAATAATGTGAGGAGAGATTATTATTAAGGTTATGAGATCCTGAAGTCGTAGGCCTTTAGTTATTTTCTGATAAATGGATTTTAAAATAAGTACAGTTGTGTTTTTACTGAGCATTTAAAATGCTCTCAGCCCAAATATTGATATGTTTTTATCCATTTTATGAGAATTAATGTGCTAGGTGACAGTAAACACTATATCAAATAGGCTTTTTATCCTTTGTTTTTGGCATCACTGAATCTATAGTAAAGGGTATTTTCCTTGTCATTTTACCAAATGAAGCTGTCACCAGCAGTCATGGGCCCCGAGGCATGGTAATTTCCTTCAGTGCTCCGCAGGGATCAAAGAAATCTTATTTTAGTTTTGGATGTTACATTTTAGTAGTTTACAAATAATTAATACATACACATAAGGTAATCTTTGTGTAGCATTTCCCAAACTCTTCTTATATTGGGTTGGCCAGAAAGTTCATTTAGTTTTTTTCTATATGATGGCTGTAGTCGCACTTTAGTTGTCTTTAACTTCACTCAAAACAATTTTGTTAGATAATATTGTAACAGCTTGTCATATCAGCGTGCATTTTTTAAAAACTTACCAAAATTGGTGAATTTTTATGTAGCCATTTTAATATTGAAGATAGAAGAAGATGTGCAAATTATGCTTTATTATTTCATGGTAATAATACCGTGAAATGCACGGTAAAAATACAACTAAAGTACAGAAAAAGATTTGTGCAGTGTTTGGAGAAGGTGCTGTGACTGATCGAATGTGTCAGAAGTGGCTTGCAAAGCTTTTTGATGCTACTGACATTTTGACCAAGTAAGTCTGTGCTGTGGGGCTGCCTTAGGCACTGGAAGATGTTTAGCAGCGCCCCGGCCTCTGCCCACTGGAAGCAAATAGCGGGGCACAACCCACAAACTCAGAATATCCAAATCAGTGCAGTTACTGGTGAAATGAAAAATGTGTCTTTCATTTTATGGAAAAAACTAAGCACATTTTTTTTTGCCAACCTAATACACTAATGTTACATTAAACAAAAACCCCAGAAAACAAAAATAACAGGTTCTGTGCACAAGTGAGTATGGGAAACACTAGGTGAACAAAACTGATTTCTTTATTGCGTGACTCCTCAGAGCCTTGGTAAGCTGATAGGCCTCGTGATGCTCCCAGATGGCTAGTTGTGGTGTTTTAAACTTACCATGGAACCCTTTTAATATTCCACGGAAACAATTTGAGGAAAGGCTGGCATACAATAAGAGAATGACTAGGTGCTCCGTTCCCTGGCCTGTTACATCTCATTTTAGCTTTGGGGGAATGAGTATGAGTTTTGTTTACATATTGGAGTCCACCACAGAGTCACTCTGTGAAGGCCTCAGATTCCTGACCTCCGCTGTCCTCAGAATCAGGGTGAGGACTTAGCTTCTTTGTGGTGGTGATCACGTTTCAGGGGCTTCAGAGGGTGTGTCATGAGTCATGAGGTGTGGTCACTGTTGTCATGAGCTCATTCTACTCAGCGAATAAAAGAGAATCAACTCATGACATGCTCCTGAGAAAAATCCACCGATTATATTTTATTTCAATAACACAAATATTTGCTTGGCTTAGACAGTATTTTTGGCCCTTTAGACCATTTGAAAGCTAAGCAACTGGTAACAAGGAAGGAATGAAATGTTTTTCATAAAACACGCAAGGTCTTGATTAAGCATGATAGGCTGTTAGAACCAACATGACTGGGTTAGGGTGGGCAGGCTATCAGCGCAACTGTAGGGGGCGCCGTCCCCAACAGGCTAGCGAATGGAGGTGTGCCCTAGAACTTGCAAGGTTTCAGTCTTGGTCTGAACATGTCTTAGCACAGCCCTCAAGCCGTAGTACGAATGTGTCATTCTTACTCGGGGGAATCGTAACCAGCTCCAGGCAGACCCGTATTAGTCATTGAGCACTGTGGTGTGATTAAACACCGTGTTCCTGAATACCGCTGCTGTCTGTGACTCAAGGCTGCTAACTTAATATTTTTTCCCTTCTGGTAGGTGTAGCTTTTACACTGTACTCAACCATGGAACAGTTTCTATCTATTGACCAAAAAAAAAAAAGGAAATTATATCACTTTCTATGCTAATATGATTTCTGAACTGCTGTTTTAGAAATTTTAGTTCTTTTAAAGATCTATGATGGAGCCAGCTGTTAAGAATCTCAGAGTCAGAGTTTTTGAATTGTGCCACAAGGCTCATACATAGATCATTTTTCAAAAAGAATTGCCATTTGAGAGCAAATACGCATAATGTATCTATTCATAGGTTTGCATTCCCACTTCTGTTCTTATTTTGGAGGCTGCGAGGGGAATTTTAGTTTTACTGCCACTGTGGGTCTTCTCGGGCTTGCGAATCTCAAAATTAACTCTAGCCAGTCTTGGAATTTTAATTTTTGTTGGCCTTTAAATGATTTCTGCCATTTTACTCTCAGACTTTACATTCTCAGTGATTGTAGCTCTCCTCTTGCCTAGCCCACCTTTCCGAGCAAACTTTGGAAGGTCTGAGCCAGGTTACCAAAGTTCATTCCGCAGGGGGGTGAGTGCGCGCAGCGGCCTCTGCCTCCTTCCTGGAGCTTCGGTGTGGATTATTTTTGCTCAGTTAAATGATGTCTTTGTACCTTCGGTCTGTCCTAGGCTTACATTTTTATTTCATATGGTAGACTTCTTTGTGACAGTACAGACTCTTGTGCCTATTCTTGTTGAGTTCCTATTCACCTTCAGTCTTCCGTCAGCAGCAGGTGTGAGCGTTGGACTCTATGATCGCCTCCCTTGCTTGGGGCCGAGGTCACTTCCCTTCTGCCGTTTCTGCCTGCGCCTGTTACCACCCTCTTCCACCCTCTGCTGCTCCCGTTGCTGATTACAGCAAGTGAAGCCTCAGCTGCTGCTTTGGGACCATTAACAAGCATAACCTGGGATTATGTGCTGCTTTTCGCCTATTTATGTCACTTTGAATCACTCAGGAAAATCTTTGATTTCTTTTTCCAGTCCATCTGAACATCTTAACCCTAGTGTTAAGACAACCCAATACTATTATGGATTTCTTCTACGCTGATTGTTAGTTTGTTACTCAACAAGTTTTTACAGTTCTGCTTTTTCTACCCAGCTGTCACTCAAATTAAAGGTATCCCAGTTCTCCCTCTCTACCCTTGACTCACACAGTTCTACAGTACAGCTTGTAATTTTATTCCTTCGGAGTCAGTTCTATGGGAATATTTAATTTGTTGTAATCGACATATCTGTTAGTGAATTGTGTCATTATTACATATGTTTGTCTTCATTGTTACCGTTTGTGTTACTTTTGGAGCCAGACGTGGTTGAGATTTCAGCTTTCCCCGCTTACTAGTTGTGATCACAAAGTGACCTAACTCTCTGGACCATGATTTCACATATTTATAAAATGGCAATAGTAACAGTTAGTAACAAAGTAAGAATAGGAACATACTCTAAGAGCTAGCAACAATGTCAGTAAGAATGTTACTATTTTTACCTTGTGGTATTGTTGCTAGCTCTTAGAGTACCTGGCATTTAATAAATACTAACTAAATGTTCACTTATTGTTATTAATGAATATCAGTTTTGGAGGACTGAATACTTAATCTGTGCTCTTTGACAGTGCAGTCAATTTTAATGCAAACAACTGATAAAAGTGAGTGTCCTGATATGGACCCTAACATATGCTACTGCTAACAATATCTCAGTGAAGAACCTGATTGTTAAATAATTTACTGTAGTACATCAATTGACTTCTTTTTAAAAAATCAAATCTGTCGTCTTCTAGAAACTTGATTATGGAGTCTTTAACATCAATCACGTTATGGCAGAAGTAGAGTCATCAGTGGTTCAGCCTCCTGCGTGAAGCCATTGCTCTTTCCTTTTGACTACACTCTTCATGTTTAAAATGTCTTTTAAATAAATTTAGTCAGAAGCTGGCTCTAATTTCCTTTTATGGTGTTTTAGTTACTGTTTAGTGCTCAATATTTATGATGAAACTTTTATTAATAAATTAGTAATAGAATTATTGGAACCTGGCCATAAAATATCTGTTCTTTACCAGAACATGTAATGGTTACATTCTTAATAATGGCCTAATGAACTTAGCTTTAACTTCTTTTCAAAATATGGAGAGTCCAGACCAAAGAGAGGCTGTACATTCATGTGAGGCTAGTTTTGCTATTCTGGAGTCATTTTCTTTAATCTTTTTTTTTAATTGGATTTTAAATTATAAAGCTTGATAGTTTTAGCAAGTGACATAATAAAAAGATGCATAGATAAAAGAGAAATCTCCCTTTAACACACCTCAGCTCTCACACTCTCAGATGACAAGTGTATATACTATCTATACTTTTGGAAACATTTCTGAAGTGGTAAACTCTGTAGGGCTACCTCATAATTACTATTCAATGAGAGTTATGGTAAGGTTTTGTCTGATTTCCTTTCATAAAATGTGCCTTTGCATTGTGTAGTTCTGATGGGTTAGACTGTAGGGAGAAAAAGCGGTGGTTTGATTTCAGAATTTCTTCATCTCGACAGTTTCACGTAAGTGTACATGTTTGTCTCATAGTTGAGTTCTTTGGAGATCCCCTCAAAAGAAGACCCATGGAGTTGAAGTTTGTTTTTTTTCTTTTAGATAACACCACTAAACCGATACTCTGAAACCTCAAATTTAACAT